CCAAGAAAAGACTTTATTTCAGAAGGCGATTTTGGTATTGGGAAGTTTTTTACAGCTACTACCTTCTTTGGATCAGGCTTAACTCCATTTTCAGTAATTAAATGACCAAGATACATGACTTCGTGTCGAAGAAATTCACATTTGTCAACTTGCAATTTAAGATTAAATTCCGAAAGTTTTTTGAATAATTTACGCAATTTATTGTTGTGATTTTCCAAGGTGTCCGCATGAACGACAATATCGTCTAGGTAAACAAAGCTTTTTAATTCGTTCAAACCAGAGAGTACGGTATTCATTAGACGTTGAAATGAAGCAGGTGAGTTCTTTAGCCCAAACGGCATTCTGTTAAAACAATAATGACCTGAAGAAGTAGAAAACGCTGTTTTATCCTTATCTTTAGGGTTCATCTTTATTTGGTGGAACCCGGACGCTAAATAGATGGTAGAAAAGTATTTGGAGTGCCCTAACTTGTTTAGAATTTCTATAATATTTGGTGATGGATAGCTATCAGCTATTGTTATAGAATTTAGTTTACGGTAATCGATGACTACACGCCATTTCTTTTTCTCGGAATAGTCTGCCTTTTTAGGAACTATCCATACATTTTATTGATTTGCATCTTTCATGCAGTATAGCATCCGTAAACGTTAATTGATCACCCTCCAAGAAATTAGATTTCGTAAAATTCGCAACACAAATCAGTAATAGCTTGTTTTTCTTCTCCATTCATATGCGAGGTATGAATAGTTTCCTTAATTTGTTCTATCCTACTCGATTTTTTATTAGCAGATCCTGTCTCTATCTTATTTATTTGACAACTATTATTACTGTTTGGCATTTTTAAAGATTTTAACTGATATTTTCTAATTTAACCGGGTACTCGTTTGTGTTTAACACCGTTGTAATAACAATGTTATTGGGTTGTAATTTTACAAAACTATTACCTAAGTAAACTCCTTTCCGAATATCTTGACAATTTATGACACCTTCGCGTACTGACGTGTTCATTCTTATTAACCTAACACATCCTTCACTACAAGCTTGTATTTCATAAATACTAGAATTGGAATTCGAGCTTAGAAGTGAATCAAAAGTAGTAGTATTTGAGCTAGAAATAGAATTAGATTTTGAACTTAGTTTAGAATTAGAAGGATGATTGGAATTGGAATTAGTAGAAATAATAGTTCTTTGAACTTGTATTGTTAATTGATTTTGTTCAAGAATTAATAGATCCTTTTGATAATAAAGCCGCATATGAAACTTTTTTAAGAGGTCGTTTCCTATAATACCGTCGCAGTTTACTGGGAACGAGTCAAGAACGGAATGGAATGCATGTGTTAGTATTTGATCACCAAAAAATATGTCGATTTCTGAATAGCACAAAGTTTTATAAGGATTTTGGACATCCCCGTTGTCGATACCCTTAAGAGTAATTTCATTATTTGCGAAACAGGGTGTGTCGCCTTTTAAATTAGAAATTTTTATAAGAGAAATGTTAGCGCCAATATCGATTAAGAATTTTGTATCAGAATTTTTTAATTGTGTGGTTTTTAAGTGCGAATGAGACTACAGATTCTAGATTAATTGACGAAATGCAGGCTATTGACGATTAGAAAAACCCTGGGAATTCTTTTAGGCCTGAAACGTTTGTGTTAGTGTCATCCCGACCGACTGACGAGGCACTTGAGAGTTTAAAGAATTAGAATTATGAGTTTAAGAATTACTAGAACCAGGATGATGAGTTTAAGAATTACTAGAACCAGGATGATGAGTTCTACTTGAAGTATTATTCCGCATTCTGTTATTATACTCCCTTTTTCTACATTCACGTATCAAGTGTCCAAATTTTTACAACTGTAAACTTTTATTTCACTTTTTCCGCAAACTTTATCATATAATAAAAATAGAACATCCCCGTCCGTCTTTTCCTATCGACAATTCCCGTTACCAAAACAACAACGAACAAGTCGCTGGCTGGAATGATGACGACATAAAGTCACGCGTTGCTAACTATACTTTATTTTGTATGGGTTTATTTGATGAAAATTTTGAATTGGTCTGGGATGTTGAATTATTAGGCCTTTGTGGATTAGAATTTTGAATATGCCCAACGTTATGTTGTCTGTGACTGTTATTTTTACTAAAATGACAATTAAAACCAGTGTCCGCTTTTATTACACAATCTAGATATATCATTATTAACATTTTGATATTTCTGGATCTCTAATCTAAATTTTTGTTCCTATTCTTCATTTAATGTGAACGCTATTGCGTCCCCTAAAAAATTTTTGACATAGCGAATATATTAACTTAATATAGCAATTCGCAACTTTACTAGCATAAGACATAACGTTTTCATATGTATTATGTTTGCAACTGTTAAGGTGCAACTGCTACTGACTAATAGTTCTTTTCTCTGAATAAGTGTTTNAAACGATTTTAAAAAAAATCTCTACAAGCTTATAAATTATGCAGTTTTTGGTAAATCTTTAAAAGATATTTATCAATATAGTGCAATCTTAATATAACGACTTCCTGGATTTAATAAATTTTTCTTAATCTCTTTGAATTGTCCATAAGAGTCAATGTAAATCTTTTTTGCGAATAACCTTTTGATAACAAATTTTCAACTATCAAAAAACGTGTAAATACCTCCAATTAACGAATTTTGTCAACCCAAAGCCTTTATATAACGTTTCTACCAATATATGACGCTTAATTCCATAGTATGATTCATGTCGCGACAGGTTTCGACACGTTTTTTTCGTATAAAGCGCTGGTTTTTATTAAAGTTCATTACGAAATTTTTCGGCAAATCAGAACGAAAATTTTCGACGAGAAGTTCGTGCGTATCTGTTCAGTCTGTCTATAAATATCCGGTTTTTATTAAATCGGTCACGGAATTTCGCTAGAGATATACGATTTGTCGTTGGCGGTATTCCGTGGGAATCAAACAATGTTGGATTCAGACGAATTTTTGGTGAGATATTTAGTAGTTTGAAGTATTATTGTTTGGCGAATTGAGTGCAAAATATCGCAAATTAGAGTTTACTGCCTTGTATGCTACACGTGTAAAAACCTACAAGGACATACAAATGAAAGAAAATATTTGGAAAAAAATTGCAAAGGATATGGGAGCAAATAAAACAGGTAAACTAAATAAACATGTTTCTATTATATATTTGTAACTATTTGGTACGATTTACATGGTGACATTTCCATTGAACATTTCCGGCTCTGCTGTTAAAATATTGTTTAAAAGTATCTCGAACAGATCCAGCAGCAAAATTTGCATGCCTATTATTACTAGGCGCCAAGGTCATACAACTGTGTACGGGAAGAGATGGGTTTGAGCTTGTAATTTGGTCTGGACATGGTATCTTACTTTGTCGTAACATATTGTGGAGAATGCATGTAACAAAAATAATGTTATCCACGCATTCTAACCGTTTAACAGCGATTGGAGTAAAGAATATTCTGAAGTACTGGCACAAAATTCCAAATGCATTTTCAGAAGTTCTCCTAGCTCTGCAATGCCGATAATTATATGTAGCTACTGCAGCAGATGAAGCTTGTGGGTAGGGCTTCATTCATTCTGTAAGCGCAAATGCTGAATCACGTAAGGCTGGAGCAATTCTGTGCCTGGAAGTTTAGTTGGAGCTAGAAAATTCATTTGACCCGCATTGATTTTCTGTCCTAAATTCGACCTCTCATACACCCCAGCATCACCTTCTCCACCGTATGAGCCAACATCAATTGCTACGAATTTACAATCAGCCAACAAAACAGTTGAAAAGTATTCTTTGTAGTTGAAACATAATGAGCCAGTGTTTGGAGGACAAACAATCCGAATATGTTTGCCAGCAATTGACATGCAACAGTTCGGAAAATTCCAAAATTGGTAGAATTTTTCTGCATTTTCCTTTAACAGATCGTCTGTGGGTGTTGGCATATAAATGTTGCTCATGATCCTTCGAATAGCGCGTACTACACTATGGATTATATTGCTAATCCAACTATGGCATATTCTCCATGAAAATGCTAAGGATCGAAATGACTCTCTTGTTGCTAGATACCTGCAATAAAAAACTTGTTTTAGGAGAAGACTGTAAAAAAGGTGGATAAATCTTAGAAACTACTACATAAGAAAAAAGAAAAATCTTGGTACAGGATCAGCTGCAACTGGCAAAGATCGGGAAAAACTAGACATGTTTAGATTCCTTGAGGAATCAGCATTTGCACATACGAAGTAGGTGATTTTGTTGGTTTCTTTATCATTTTAAACAAAATTTCAATATTTTAAAATTAAATGTGTATTTTTCTTTTTTTTTAGGACCGTATCCAATGTTGCTCCAGTAGCCGCTGAAATTCCACAAAATATTACCAGTAGCCCAGAGTCTGTCAACCAAAATATTAACGAAGAGAATACAGAAAGTAATCTAATAAATGCACCATATACTTCTCAGAACGTGTCATTAGCGAAAAGTGAAGCTTCAATGGACTTTTCAGCTATTGATATGGCAGAAAACCATATGAGTCTTATCAGATATAGCGAACAAGATGCTCATAATACGTCCACGTCAGTGTGTAAAAATAAATATTTCTGCTTCAAAAAAATACATTACTTCACATTCCAATGACGTTTAAAAAATAATATTAATGATAATATTTGAGCAGTTACCTTAATGTTAGGCACAGCTTCCATTGTGAATTGGATACCTTTTTGAAGGGGAGGATTTTATGTCACCTTTAATATTGTTCAGAACTTCGTTAAATAAGTGAGGCGTTAAACGAAAAAATTCCCTAAATTTAGTGTCATTGTCGACAAGGTGTCTCAACACCAGCATTTCGTAGGTACTTTTCTGTTTCCTTTTGAGAAACAAGTTGCAATGGCTCAGACAAGTAAAAGGTGTTCGTAATCAGTAGTAGAAAAACGAAACATCATTAAAAAATTAGACATAGCTAATAAATTCGGGATTTCTGCATGTACATTGGCTACAATTTTAAAAATTAAAGATAAGTTTTTAGTAGTAAGTGGTTTGCCTGTAAACAGTTGAAGATTAAATCATGCAAGTACAAAGACGTAAAGGAGTGTGTGTTGAAGTGGTTAAAACAATGTCGAAACAAAAAGGTCGCAACCGGAAGCCCTATCCTTCAGAAAAAAGGCTCAGNAAATCTTTAATGGAAAAATATAAAATTAATCATTATAGTAGTTATTCAGTAAAAAAGGCATCCATTGTTGAGCGTGTAATTAGAACTATCAAAACTAAATTATTTAAAGCACTTCATTATAGAGGTTCATATCGGTGGATAGACGTAATTGATGACGTTGTCAATGAATACAACGGTACCATACATAGAATAAATATGATACCATCAAAAACGATAAAAAAACAAAATGACATTAAAATGATAGATGGGAAACCTAAATTTCAAGTGGGTGATATTGTACGAATAAGTAAAGCTAAACATATATTTTCAAAGTCTTATACACCCAACTGGACAACTGAATTATTTAGAGTAGCAAAAATTAAGTACACTTATCCTTACACATATTTATTGGAAGATTTAAATGGCAATCCTATAAGTGGAGGTTTTTACAATGAAGAAATACAGAAAACCAAATATCCAGATATATATTTAGTTGAAAAAGTTTTGAAACGTAAACATAATAATCTTTTCGTTAAATGGTTAGGATTTCCGGAAAAACATAACAGTTGGATTAATATGTCTGATATTGTATAAAAATTTTGTTCATATTGGAAAATTTGTACATAATATAAATAAATAAAACAAACGTTGCTATTATTTTTAGTTTTATTTTAATAAGAATAATAATAATAATAATAATACAGAATAATAAGAATTAATAATAATAATATAATG